CTTGACATATTGGAACGGAATCTCAGGCATGACCGAAACGGTCTGATGCCACTCCTTTGCTTGTCTCTTGAATCCCGCGCCAGGAAAAAATTCAGGCAGATATTTGAGGCTGATGGGGAAGAGTGAGTTCGCTACCAGATAGGCGGCACAGGGGCACCGGACAAGGGAAGAGACTCGACCAGGTGCGCTCCACTATTTCCAGAAGCTGCAATCGCGTTTATCCCCTTCTCCGCACTCGCGATGTATGGGTCGTTTTCGGGCAACACCTCAATACCATAGGCCATGGACATGATAATCATTCCCATCATGCTACGAGCTTGATATTAGACGCGAGAAATTGTACTTGGCACTAACACATACTGGCGAAAATGTTTTTCGAATTTATCAGGGCTATCAAGGAGCCGCTGCAACAAGACTCGCGCTGCATCCAGTTCCCTTGAATGGTGAAATGCGGCCGTCGAGGGCTGAACCTCTTGCACAAAAGCCTTCCGGTGCTCTGTATAGCCGTGAGTCGGAGGTCCACCCGAAGAGCTCGACACACCTTTCCACAGATTGCCGTACCGCATGAACGCAAAATTCCACGTAAATCCGATTCTTCGGTCTATCAGGAAAAGTAGGATGAAGGTCACGCGTGCTCGTACAAGTCATTAACCATCCTGAATTCAGGTCTTTGGTGGGGGTGAGCCAAGTCGTGAACGGATATTGTGGATGAAAAACCTGTCAGAATAAATTGCAGAGCGGTTATGAAGAAGCTCGGTAGCCGCTGACGCGGAGTTCAGCACAATCACTCTGGTGCCCATCAGGTTGAGAGAAATGATGTCGGACTCTGCAAGCGGGAAGCGTAAGTAGTCCTTGCGGTCGAGTAGCTTATGAACTAACTGAAATTCCGGGAACTTTCTTTGAACCATAACCATTCTTGAGATTTTGGAACATCAAATATATTCCCTATCAGAGGGAATCCTCGCGGACCGGGAGGCAATGGAGACCGACGGAGGAGGAGATGGCGACACACGACCAAAAATCCATATGAGAGCAAACTGAGGCACGCGAGGGCAAGTACTGAAAGCATATCTGGTGGTAATGAGGCAGGTTCATCGAGGCTCGCCTTATATATCGTCTTACCGCACAATATCCGCAAGATGGCATTTTAGAGCCTGATCGCGAGTAAGGCGGGGAGTCAGAAGTTCGCTCAGAGTCCGCCGAAGCCGGGAACCTGAGGAAAGGGTGCCTCTAGATCAAAAAGAAGTGATGCGCCACCCGAGCCCGGATCGACCCGGATTAGATTAGATATGATGCTCATGATTCATGAATTACACCAAACAGCCAGCGCGCATCACGAGGATCCCGCCCTAGCCGGCCGTGAGTGCGCTATGAGCTCCGTGAGCCATCTATCTGCTGTTAAATTAGCGGGAAGTTTGTTTCCTCTTCCTAGGTAATTCTGTCGACCTCAAAAGTCACTGGGAGATTTTTTCTAGATAGAAATTCTGCTGAGAAATAACAGGATGAAATAACCGCACAAAAACCTTGCACAAACTGCCCATCTCATTGTTCCATTGAATGAATGTTTTTTAACTATGTGTAAATATAGCGAGAATTCGGTCTCGCTGTAATTGGATGTCAAATACGGCTAAAAAAAATTAAACACATTATTCAGACCTACTTTGGGGTAGTTGGCGTAGACACACATGCACACATAGAGGCGCGCCGACGGCGGGATGACTCACTTTTGACTCACTCATTACTCAACTATGCCGAGTCCGATCACTCCGGTGGGTTCCGCACCTGATCCGAGCCCACTTCTCTTGACGTTCTTCTCTTTGATCTAGAGGAATGCACCTATTACTCCCGGGAACCTTTAACGTGGACTTCAGTACTAGTGCTTTATGTAAAGCGGCGCGAGGAAAGACGATGCACTGCTAGAATTATCTATCTGGTGCCATCCCGTTTTCGAGGATGCTCTTGGATTTTGGGAAGAGGATGGGCATCAAACTTGAAGGAACCCAAACCCTAACCGGTGAATACCCGCAGTTACTGAGTTAGGGCGCGCTGCGCTTTCCCTAACTGCTCGAAATAGGTTACATGTGGATACAGAATTGATAGCATCAAAATGAGAAAGTTCGTAACTATTCAACTGAAGTCATGAACTTTTACAGAATCCCATCAAACTCACGAACTTTCGTAGCACTAAGCGAAGTAACTAAGTGACGAAGCTGGCGCGGACTCGGTGGGACCATAGTGGGAAGTGCGGTGGTCGAGTCATAAGCAACTTTGGAAGACTTTTTATATACTTCTCGGGTCCGATCCAGTGACTTAGACTAGGCCTGACTTGCACACCGAGCCGATGGCTGATGGTTAATAGTTATCACCCGGTTTATAATTATTGAAGCGTCTGTCCAGTGTAAAGCCCAGTAGTTTATCCTAATATTTAGTTAGGCGCCTGCGTGTTAATTCATTTTTTTTTGAAAAACAAAGAGAGAGATTGGCATTATTCGGTGGATGATACCTTTACGAGTCCTAATGTCTTTTAGGATTCGTTCTTGTTGATGTCCATTCAGCTTTTTTTAATTGAGGCTAGAACTCCGACATCACGTGCTGCTTTTCATTCCGAGGTTCAGCCGTCTTTTCAATTTTATGCACACAATCTGAGGGAAAAGTGTTGGGGAGGCTTCGGCGGCAGATCCAAGGGCATCTCAACCAATCCATGTCAAACATTACGATACCGTATCTATGCATGTCCCCAGCCGGTCTCGGAGGTAGGGTGGCAAGGGTATACGAAGACCTGCAATTGAACCGAGATCCCGCAGATTAACATGATTCGTAATGTGCAGGACCAATTCCGCTTGTCAACACTGAGATATACTGACAGGCAGACGGTGGATCAAAATAACGATACGAGGTGGTTCCGCAAGTAGCAAGCTAAGTCAACTCTGGAACACGCAGCACCAGTGCGTTTTTGCTAATCCCGAGGCGACGAGGGCTGATGTCGACCATGTGAAAGAGGCAGAAATGAGTGGGCAGGTTCTGAGGTCCACTGGAGAGTCATGCAGGAAGTCCGTAGTATTAATGTAGTCGCGGATTGATTGCAGAGCTGCAGAGCCTCGCAGAGCTCGCGGACTGGACAAACGGCGCTTCCGGTTGGAGTTATATGCCCGGGTGATCCCTGGTTGCTGGCAGCCACCAGTGGCTATCGATGGCCGCCAGTAGCCAGCGGGTATGATCGTGCTTCCCATCAATGCTGAAGATAAGATAATGAAGCTTTCGTGATATCCATTGATATTGGGGCAGCCTCTAATGGCGGCCAACGACCGCCATTAGATTCACCCTCTTATTTTTTAATTTCCACAGATCTTCTTTATAAGGAGTACAACACACTGATGGAAAGAGAAACAAGAAATACACAAGGGGCGGAGATGCTACCCGCGCGGCACCAGAAAGGAAGAGGGACCACGGGTGCGCGCGTGCTGTGAGGAGGGCGCGCTGCAGGTCCTCTGAGGAGGGCTTCACGACGACGACGCCGTCACGCGCCCCCCGCAGCCCACCCGGCACACAACGAGGCGCGGCCCACCCCACCCACCACGAGGTGCAGCCTCGCGCGCGCGGGTAGATAAAAGGGGAAACAGCCAGTAGACAGAATAAAAAGGAAAATAGACGAGAAGAAGGAAAGGAAGAAGGAAGGGAAAAAGGGAGGCGGACGTGAAGTTGAAGCCCTCCCCCGCCACGACAGGCGCTAGGCGCACCACCACGACGAGACCGCGACAAGCGCTAGGCGCACCACAGCCGCAAAGTGTGCACCACGACAGATAAGCGCTGCGCAGTCGTCGAATAGGCGCCGTATACGAACGGGATAGGCGCCCGAAGACGTGCAGGCAGGGCAGGCCGTATGAAGGGCGATGGAATTACGCCCGAGAGGATGGCATGAGCATAACGCTGGTGCCCGCCAGCGACTCCGCCAGTGACCCGGAGGGCAGCAGAGCAGCAGGTGTCGTAATGCGCGAGCGATACGCCCGCGGGAAAGTCCGCGCTGCGAGGAAAGGAGCAGGGAGTGATCCCCGCGATGCGATGGTGCGTGGCACCGCCAAAACCAAGGACTCGAAGGAAAGGTGAACGTGGAGGGAGGAAGGGAAGAGAGGGAGTATAACAGGCAGTCGGCACACGACACTTACCACTGAGGAGGTCGACCCAGGTTGCGACGCCCATGCGCTCGCCGGAGTCCTCTGTCTGCTTCATCATTTTGAGCGTCTCGTCGAGCAGCGTCTCGCCCGTCTGCCGCGTAGACAGCACAGTCACAGGCCGCTCCGTCAGGAGGTCCGCCGCTGTATGTATCATATCGGTGGTCAGCATACCCCATGTATTTTGTGCGTTCGCTTACACTCATCGGATCCCTTACAACCCCAATCCTTCTCCTCAGCGCCAGCTCCATGAGTATACACCCCCTCAGCGCATGGCTGATGTTGTCGTTCCAGAAGCTGAGGTACCCCTGCTTGTCCTTGATGCCTAGCAGCAGCACCTCCTCCATGAGCGTGAGCTTCGGCACGCTGCCGCCCAGTGACTGGGCAGCGCTCTCCTGCGAACTGGGCAAAAGATCGCGCGGGTCGTAGGCGACGCGCGATCCATTGGCGAAGGCGCTACCCGCATGTGCGCCGCCTGTCAGACCCAAAGACTGGAGCTGCGCCTCTGGCGATTTTTCTGCGGGGATGGCAGAGGCAGGCGGGGAAGAGGGCGCATTGTCGTCGTCGTCGTGTGTTGTTGTTGTCGGGGCATTGGCGCGTCGGCGGGAGAGCCCGGAGGGTGCCATGGCGGAAAACGAGACAAGAAAGCTGCTGCATGTGGCGGTGTTCGGGAGAAGCCGGGAGGCGGTGCGGTCAAAGCGGGTGAATCATACTACAAAACGGGCGTGATAACTCAAGGGCGTGGGCGGGATTAAGTTTGCGTAGTGGGATGGACTCCGCAGCTTGTTCAGAAGTTGTGAAAAAAAAAGGAGGGATGAAACTACCGATTCATGCACTGGCGGGGAGTCGAACCCCGGTCTGCCTAAAACTGTGCAAAGAAAACAAGTGATATCGAAGGGCAGCGTGCACCATGCACCACCGATGCTTATATTTATCCTTTTAGAACCTGATTTGTACAGCTCTAAATCACCCAATGGCCAATACCATTACAGTAGGTCAATTTCTTGAAGTTGAATCAACATCGGTCTAGGCGGGGTGCCCGATGTCTTCAACCACATCAATCTGTCCATATATATAATCCGGGAGAAGCTAAACAAATGTGCTTAGGGCTAGGCGCGAAAAACAGCTGGAAAAAAAGTATATTAGAACCCACGAATGCACCAGCGGGGAATCGAACCTCGGTCTGCCTGAAATGATATTCGAGTCACAGTCACATTAAAAGGCAGCGTACACCATGCACCACCGGTGCTCATTCTCCTCCCTTCTTGACTCTTATTTATACAGCTCCAAGACACACCGTGGACCATTGTGAATTCACACAATGGCCAGTACCGTTTTTACAGTCGGTTGATTTTGTCAAGTTGATTCCCTCCTCCCAAAAATTTGTCAACATAATATCTTAGTACTTCCCATCCGTTGATGCAATATCTAGGTCCCCGAGCCAGGACAAAAATATACTACAAGGTATGAAAAATGAAAGGATTCTGGATGGAGCAATCCCGTGCACCAGTGGGGAATCGAACCCCGGTCTGCCTGAAACTCCGACAGATACGGATTCCATACCTAGGGGCAACGTGCACCATGCACCACCGGTGCTTATTCTCATCCTTCTGTGTGCTGCTTCATACAGCTCTAAATCGCCGAATGGCGAATGGCGCCACAGAGGTTGGATCAACAACATCGGGTACTATAGCTACATGTCTTCAACCACATCAATACCCCATGACATAATCTGTCGATACAATATCTAGGCCTCTGTAGTCAGCGAAAATGTGATGAGGAAGCGCGAAACAAGATAGAGGAAAAAGAGGACTTCTGGAGCTCTTAATGCATCGGCTGGGAGTCGAACCCCTGCCTGAAACGCCGGTATTCGATCTTCCCATTTAATGGCAGCGTGCACCATGCACCACCGGTGCTTATATCCATCTTTTTTGACTCTCTTTTATACAGCTCTAAATCACACGATGGTCAATAGGTCAATTTCTCAAAGTCGAATCAACATCAATGCGGCCCCCAATATGCTCTCGATGAACCATATACTTTCCAGTATTTAGTCGATATAATATCTAGCTCCTCGGGACCAGACAAACTTATTCTGAGGAAGCTCGAAAACAGTCATAGGTAAAAAAAAAGGACCAAAGTCATGCCGCATGCACCGGTGGGGAATCGAACCCCGATCTGCCTGAAACGCCAGTCTTTAATGGCAGCGTGCACCATGCACCACCGGTGCTTATATCCATCTTTCGTGACTCTCTTTTATACATCTCTAAATCACAAAATGGCCAACAGTAACATAGACCCGAACCAGTATCTTTTGTGGCCAGCGAGAAATTGATGACAGTCGATCAATTCGCAAGCTAAAAAGAGACTGGACTCTGGAGCTTTTTAACCGGCGGGTAGTACGGTCGGGAGTTGCCGGCGTACAGTTGTTTTGACTTAGAAAAATTTCGTGAAATGAAAATTCAAACTCTCAGAAACAAATTCTGAAGAGACAGTTCTGTGTGAAATTGTTTTACCTACTCATTCCACTTGTCTTCAAGACAACAACCCAAGAATTGAGGGCGACGCAACGAAAATTAAGACGGCTCGTCCATGTCTATTATTATCTATGAGGGCATGTGGATCACCGTCTGATGCAATAGTACCCGAAAGATGCCAAGCTCTACAATTATTTCTGCTCGTCTTTATTTTCCTTGGAGTTCCCTCAATCCTCGGAATGTCCTCATGAAAACTAGTGGATTGAGCTGGTGGAGAAATTAGGCATAAAACTGTCTCTTTAGAATAGGGTGTATCACAGTTGCCAGATTTCACGGATTTCGAGCCGGATTTCGATTCCAATTTTCGCTCAGCGTGATGTTGTCAATCATTGTCAATCACCCGGCATTCCAGTGCCGATGTTGACACAACCACGTGCACTACAAACAAACCCTGCACATTACTATATGACGCGTTCTGGACCAGTTTAAGCGCGTCATCAAGGAGATACCCCAGTAAATATCTTACGTGGATATTTTCCTCCCTCATTTAGCGTGTATTCCTGTGTATTCCATCTAATCCAGGTCTGAAAGGAGCTTCCGGAAATCTCCGATAACTTTGCCGATGTCACCCATTTACGGATGCGACCGAATGGCTGATGTGACGCTGTTACTGCCTTATAAATCCAAATCCAAATCCACTTCGAAATCGGTGAAATCTGGCTACTGTGATACACCCTAATTCCGCCTTTGATGGTTTGAATTTTCGATTCGCGAAATTTTTCTCAAGTCAAAACAACTGTACGCCGGCAACTCCCGACCATGTTAAAAAGCTCCAGTCCCTTCGCCATCACCCTTGATCGACTGTCATCAAGATTGGTGCTGGCGTCCTACTGGGTTCGAGTCTAACAGTAACATAATCACAGTACAAATGATCTCGGGACCCGATTTTCAGCATCAATGCCTTCACGGGATTTTGGTATTTTATTTTATTTCAAGTACATATTGACTGACCGGAGAAAACGACATTAATATTACGACGACTTCGGGATTGCGCCAGGACTGGTGAAAACGGTTGGAAGGGGGAAAAAAGACTCCGACTCCGATTTCAGCATGCACCAGCGGGGAATCGAACCCCGCTCTTCCCTGATTTAGACTGTAACCATCTACACAGCTGGTAGGTAACAGGGACGTGCACCTTAATCTTGCACCACCGGTGCACATGCCCATCCTTCCTGACGCCCTTTTATATAGCTCTAAATCATACTGTGGGACCATTGTGTGATTCACACTGTGGCATTGTGTAATTCACATGATGGTCAATCATGTCATTTTACAGTCGGTTGATTATCTTCTTCAAGTTCTCGACACGTTCCCAATGATCTATCATACAACATCCTGGTCCCCGCCGACACCAACAAAAATGTGCTACCGAGCAGTCCTAATAATACCCCCGAATGCACCGGCGGGGAGTTGAACCCCGATCCGCCTGAAATCACTCGGATCTCCAATATTCTTTAATGGCGGCGTGCAGCAGCGCACCACCGGTGCTTATTCCCATTTTCTTGACCATCCTTTACATTGCCCTCGATTTCCCAGTCTGCCCCGCCAACATAAACGGCTGGAAAAAAAACTCTGGCAATGCCAAAATTTCAACGTCGAGGGCACTTACTTCCTGCTACGATTTGGGCATTCGATCTGGGCCTCCTAGCAGCATGCAACGAACTTGCTGGGAGATATGAATAACTTAAGCCAGGAACAAAATAATTGTTGTTCGACAACTAATCCCTAATGCACCGGCAGGGTATCGAACTCCGATCTGCCTGAAACCGGTCTTCGATCCTCCTATTTAATGGCAGCGTGCAGCATGCACCACCGGTGTTCATTCCCTCTCTTCTCAATCGCACCCTGAATTGCACAGTCCACCATTATAATGGGCTGAAAAGAAAACTCTAGCTTAAGGAACAAATAAATCCAGCAGTGCCAAAATTGCAACGTTGGAGGTGGTACGATTTACGCGCCGCGACGTGATACAGGATCACTGGACGACATCATGTTGCTTAATGAAGTCAGGAATATTCTCAATCATCATAAAATGAACGAAAAAAACTGACCATTGTAAAATGATCACTCCCTCTGAATCATGCACCGGTTGGGAATCGAACCCCGATCCCTGAAATGAGTCCGACTCGAATATTCAATGGCGACGTTCACCACGCACTACCAGTGCTTATATCCATCCTCCCTGACCTTGATTTATACAGCTCTGAATCACAATGTGCTTGTGCGATTCGCACAATGATCAATTCCATTTTTGAATCGGTTGATTTCTTCAAGTCAAATTGACCTCCGGACCTAATAAGGATTTTGTCCCATCCTTCTTGACTCTGATTTATACAGCTGTAAATTACACTGTGGCCCATTGTGTAATTTACACAATGGTAAATGCCATTACGGATACAGTCGGTGGATTTCTTCAAGTTGAATCCCTCCCTTCGATATATATTCTTTCTTCTCCACCTAACTTGAGTATGGTTATGACGCGCCGTACACCTAATTAATAGCTCTGGAGAGCGGTCAAGGCGAAAAATATCGGATGTGCCGAATCGGGAATGCGACTCGAAAAATAATGCGTGATGATGTCCACGCACGGGGTGTGGAGCTTTTTTTTTGTCGCATGAGACTGCGCAACGTGCCTCCATTGATTAGATTTGTGTCATCATACGTACGTACCTACCTGGCACTGGCAGTTTTCAAAACAGTGATCCTGGTAGCTTGCGAGAGACCAGAACACCCTCGCGCCACGGCTTCGTCCCGCGCCCTCCACTGCACGACTCGCCGACGCTGGCGCCTCCCACGACGTGGGCTCCCCTTCCCCACTCACCCCGACCATAACGCGGGATCAGGAGAAGCAGCACTGCGAGCACGAGTACAGCTAGACGACGACGCAGAACGACGAAGGCCTCGAGACGAGACCGTCTTTCACGTGTGTGTATCCTCGCCGTCCGAGACGAAGCCGTTTTCCCCCGCGCGCGGCTGCGCGCATTGGCGCGGTGTGCACACGGAACGCGTGGTACAAGCAGCGGCCGCTCTTTGCGTCACCGAATCACACATACGGACCCGGACGTACAACCCTCCGACGCGGACTTTCCAGCAAGTGCACTCCGTACCTTGCATGGAGCGTCCAGAGCCCGCCCCGAGCCACCAGACAAGGTTTGAAAAAAGAAGAGCCGAGAGAAAGCAGATCGGAATGAAGGAGCGGTGCAAGGTAGAGATGGAGTATGCGCGCAGAGGCGAGCACGTCCTATTTCTAGGCCTATCCCAGGGGCGCACGTCGGAGCGAACATAAAAAGAAACGTGAATGAAATAAAATATGCGAATTGGGAACGAGTCCCCGCGCACGGTACGCCCTTCCACGAGCGCCGAGCGTGTTCCTACGCTCATCAGCGAGGGCGCTATCGTCCGGGCAGCCGCATGTGCGGGGCACAGCGCATGCCACCAGCCATTGACTTGGCAAGCACCCGAGGACGCGAACGCAGTTACAGAATTAGAATAACGCGCAATACACCGCCCCCAGGGCATAGCTGATGTTGTCGTTCCAGAAGCTGAGGTACCCTTGCTTGTCCTTGATGCCGAGCAGCAGCACCTCCTCCATGAGCGTGAGCTTCGGCACGCCGCCCTCCAAAGCAGCGCTCTCCTGCGAACTCAAAAGCAGATCGCGCGGGTCGTAGGCGACGCGCGATCCATTGGCGAAGGCGCTGCCCGCATGCGCGCCACCTGTCAGACCTCAGAGGATTCGAGCTGCGCCTCGGGCGATTTTTCTGCGGGGGTGGTAGAGGCGGGGGGGGATGAGGGGACGTTGTCGTCGTCGTCGTGTGTTGTTGTTGTCGGGGCATTGGCGCGCCGGCGGGAGAGCCCGGAGGAGGCCATGGCGGAAAACGAGACAAGAAGCTGCGGCGTGTGGCGGTGTTCGGGAGAAGCCGGGGGCGGTGCGGTCAAAGCCAGGCGTTGTAAATTACAAAGCGGGCGTGATAACTCAAGGAGCGTGGGCGAGATTAAATTTGCGTAGTGGGAGAGACTCAGCTTGTTCAGAAGTTGTGAAAAAAAGAGGGATGAAACCACTCCTTGCACCGGCGGGGAGTCGAACCCCGGTCTGGACTCTGCCTGACATTCTGCAACTGAAAGTCTTCCTACTTTAGGGCAGTGCACACCATGCACCACCGATGCTTATATCTATCCTTTTGGACCCTGATTTATACAGTTCTAAATCATCCAATGGCCGATGCCATCACTGTAGTTCGACTTTACGAACATCGGTATAGCCAGTGCCCGATTCTTCCACATCAATACCTCCACAACACTTTCCTAATAATCTGTCGATATAATCTTGGCCTTAGTATTAAACGAAAATATATTGAGGAGGCGTGAAAACAGCTGGAAATTTTTCTTTACACCATGAATGCACCGGCGGAGAATTGAACCCCGATCTGCCTGAAACGTGTCACCTTAATCCCCCCCATTTAATGGCAGCGTGCACCATGCACCACTGGTGCTGGTATCCATATACTGCTCTAAATCACACCGTGTGCCATTGAGTGATTTACACCGTTACTATTGTGGAGTTCACACAATGCCCAATGCCATTTTACAGTCGGTTGATTTCGTCAAGTTGGATTTCTCCCGCCACATCCCCAATAATCTGTCGACATAATAGGGGAGTTCACGCTACACTGGTTGAAAAATTCAAGTTTTTCGGTCAAATTATCAGTGAAAAACTTCCTTTATTTTTCACACATTTTTCACTGAAAATGTGTCTGAAAGATTTGTAACTTTTTCAGTAATTTTGTGAAAAATTCAAAAGTTTTTCAGCAAAGTCAGGAAAGTTCTGAAAAAGTTATAAAATTTTCAGATACATTTCAAGTGAAAAAAGTGTGAAAAATGAAGGAAGTTTTTCACTGAAAAGCTCAATGAAATTTTTGAATTGCTCAACCAGTGCTAGGCATTATTTTGTCGTTTGTGAATAAAAATAATCGAGTGATGGGACCATTATTTTCAATGTTTATTCCACAAACAAGATTCAATCTTGTTTGTGGAATAAACATTTTTTGTGGAATATATATACCTGCTTGAGTAAGTAAGCCAGCCGCGCCCATCATCCCGCCTCTCCCGCCCATCATCGCGCCTATCATCGCGCCTCATCCTGCCCATCATTCCGCCTCCCCTGCCCATCATCTCGCCCATCATCCCGCCTCTCCCGCTCATCATCCTGCCTCATCCCACCCATCATCTCGCCCATCATTCTGCCTCATCTCATCCATCATCCCACCTCTCCCGCTCATCACCTGTAACAGTACCGGCCTCCCATCAAAAAAATAGAAATAATACTCCCTGAACCAAATTATTGTTTAGCTGATATAGGGTCTGTCAGATGACTAGATGGCGAAAATAAGGTGTTTGTGAGGTGTGTATGCCTGGCAGGTTGAATTAATGTTATAGGAATATATCCTGAGACTCAAACGGGGTGATCACGCATTTATTCCACAAATGACAATTTTATTCGTCCCATCAAATGAATATATTTATTCACAAACGCAAAAATTGGCCCTACCATGAACTCCCCTAATATCCTGGTCCCAGCCAACACTAACAAAAATATGCTATTTATCACAAAAACAACTGGAAAAATACTCTAGTCAATCCTAATACCCCCGATCCGCCTCGGATCTCCAATATTATTTAATGGCGGCGTGCACCAACACACCACCGCCCATCTTCTTGACCATCATTTACATTGCCTCGATTTCCCAGCCTGCCCCACCAACATAACCGGCTGAAAAAAAAAAAACTCCGGCAATGCCGAAATTTCAACATCGAGGGCACTTACTTCCTGCTACGATTTGGGCATTCGATCTGTGCCTCCTAGCAGCAGGCAACAAACTTGCTGGGAGATATGAATAACTTAAACCAGGAAAAAAATAATTGTTGTTCGACAATGCCTTATGCACCGGCGGGGAATCGAACCCCGGTCTGCCTTCAGACATTCTAAGCACAGTTACTTTAGGGCAGCATGCACCATGCACCACCGATGCTTATATCTATCCTTTTTGACCCTGATTTACACAGCTCTAAATCACCTAATGGCCAATACCATCACAATATAGTTTCATCTTCAAGTCCTTAAACTCGAATCGACGTCGGCTTAGGCAGTGCCCGATTTCTTCAACCACATCACTACCTCCCCGGACAACTGTCTGGGATAAGACACAACCGAAATACCCTGCCAAGCACAAAAGTATATAAGCTAGAAAAGAAATGGGCTTCCTGCAGCTGGCACCGGCGGGGAATACAACCCCGTACCACCTCAATCATGGCTATTGTATCCCCGAATTATATGAGGAATCCACCATGCACCACCGGTGCTTATATTCGTCTTTCTTGACTCTGATTTATACAGCTCTTAATCACCCAATGGTCAATGCCATTACAGCAGTTCAAAAAATTATCGGTTGCCATACTTTCCACGACACTTTCCAATAATCTGTCGATATAATATCTAGTTCGTCTGTACAATAGGAGACTGCGCTGCGCTGAGGACCGGTGAAAACAGTCAGAAAAAAAAAACGCGTTGTCAGCACTATATGCACCGGCGACGACTCGAACCCCATGTCGCCTTGATCGTAGAAGCATGACGCCATTGTACTTTTTGAGCTGTGTGCACCATGCACTATCGGTGCTTATTCCCATCCTTCTGTGTGCTGCTCCATACAGCTCTAAATAACCAAATGGCGAATGGCATCGCACTAGGTCAGTTCTTGAGGTTGGATCAACAACATCGGCTATAGCTAGGCAGTGCCCCATGTCTTCAATACCCCACGACACTTCCCCAGTACTCTGTCGTCACGATATCTGAGCCTCTGTAGTAAGCAAAAATGTGCTGAGGAAGCGCGAAGAAGATAGAGGAAAAGAGCCCTTTGAACACTTATCTGATCATTCAGGTACCCACTAAAATAATGCCAGCAATGCGTCGTTAATCTACTGATAGTGTCAATGCCATAATTGAAAAAAAAATAGGAAAGAATTATAGTCGAACACACCGGCAGAGAATCGAACCCCCTCTTCCCCCAATTTAAACAAGTCATCGACCAGCCAGTATATTAAGGGGCCGTGCACCATGCACCACCAGTGCTTACTGTCCCAACATGTAGGGAAGCAACGGTCACGGTAATGAACCGGCCGTTGCGCTGCCTCAGTCACGGTAGCGGTAGGCCTGCTTGCTCAAAAAAACCGCGACATTGAATAAAGATTTAGCGCCCAGTAATTTGTAACGTTTTTTTATGAATAAAAATAAAGACGACCTCAAGTTTCGAACAATAGATGTCCTGTGGGGGGTATGTTTGAAAGATAACACTTATATTCCAACTGAACCACTTGGCAGCATAAGTTTTTCTGTTGCTTAAGGAGGTGACGGTCCCGGTAACGGTGCCCTCCGTTGCCTCAAAAATAGGCAACGGGTTTGTCACGGTCCCCAGACCATTGCTTCCCTACGTGTTGGGACAGTATATCTTCCTGACCTTCATTTATACAACTCTAAATCACACTGTTTCGCATGATGGCCGGATTAAACTCAGGTCGAAGCCCTACCTGCGCAGTACACACCCAAATTTTCTACATCAAACATCAATATTGCCTCCACGAGACTTTTGCTTCATTTTGATATTCCGGTAATACGAGCGTACCGAGAAAGACGACACTCAGAATCTGCAGGATTACCTCAGGAGGACAATTAGAAGAAAAAAATGTGGTACACCCACCCCATGCACCGGCGGGGAATCGAACCCCGGTCTGCCCGAGACGCTAAATCATGCACCTGGATTTAATGGCAGCGTGCAGCGTGCACCATTGGTGCTTAAATCAATCCTTCCTGACCCTGATTTATACTGTTCTAAATCACACAATGGTCAATACCGATGTACAGGCGGTTAATTTCTTCAAGTTGAATCCCTCCTCCCAATAATCTGTCGATATAATATCTAATTCCACAATAATCTCTTGACACAAGATCTAGGTCCCCAAGGCAAGACAAAAATATGCTGCAAGGTATGAAAAAAGTAAGGATTCTGGATGGAGAAACTCCATACACCAGTGGGGAATCGAATCCCGGACTGCCTGACATCCTGCAACTGAAAGTCTTCTTACTTTGGGCCAGCGCGCACCATGCACCACCGAAACTTATATACCTCCTTCTTGACTCTCTTTTATACAGCTTTAAATCACCCAAGTTCGACTTTAAGAACATCGGTATAGGCAGTGCCCGATTCTTCCACATCAATACCTCCCCGGAAGGAACAAATACGCTAAGATGTAGATGCGAGAACAGCTATAAAAAAGTTCCATACCCCCGAATGCACCGGCGGGGAATCGAACCCCGATTTGCCTGAAACGCCGGTTTTCGAGCTTCCCATTTAATGGCAACGTGCACCATGCACCACCGATGCTTATATTTATCCTTCCTGACCCTAATTTATACAGCTCTAAATCCTCCACTAGCCGATGCCATCGCAGTAGTTTGACTTTAAAAACATCGGTATAGGCAGTGCCCGATTCGTCCACATCAATACCTCCCCAACACTTTCCCAATAATTTGTCGACATAATATCTAGGTCCCCGGGACAGGAATAAATACGCTAAGATGTAGGTGTAGGAGCAACTATTAAAAAGTTGCAGTACCCCCGGATGCACCGGCGGGGAGTTGATCTCCGATCCGCCTGAAGTCTACGAATAGACCACCAATATTTAATGGCGGCGTGCACCACGCACTACCGGCGCTCATTCCCTCTCTTCTTAACTGCCCTGAATTTCACAGTCCACCATTATAATGGGCTGAAAAGAAAACTCTAGCTTAAGGGAAACATAAATCTGGCAGTGCCAAAATTGCAACGTTGGAGGTGGTACGATTTACGCGTCGCGACGTGATACAGGATTCAATGGCGACGTGCACCAGTGCTTATATCCATCCTTCCTGGCCCTGATTTATACAGCTCTGGATCACAATTCGCTTGTACGATTCGCACAATGTTCAATTCCATTTTTCAGTCGGCTGATTTCTTCAAGTCGAATCGACCTCTGGACCTAATGAGCATTTTCTCCCATCCTTCTTGACTCTGATTTATACAGCTGTAAGTCACATTGTGGCCCATTGTGCAATCCACACAATGTTCAATACCATTACGGATACAGTCGGTGGATTTCTTCAAGTTGAGTCCCTCTATTCGATATATATTATTTCTTCTCCACCTAACTTGAGTATGGTTATGACGCAGGTTCCGCACGCCTAATTGACAGTTTCGGAGAGAGGTCAAAGTGAGAAATATCGGATGTGCCGAATCGGAATGCGGTTCGAAAAATAATGCGTAACGATGTCCACGCACGGGGTGTTGAGCTTTTTTTTGCCGTCCAGGAGTGAGACTACTGCGCAACGTGCCTCCACTGAGGTCAGTGCTGAAAAATTCCGTTCCCTGAGCGCCGGCAGGGATTAAAATTTGTGTCATCATACGTACCTACCTGGCACTGGCAGTTTTCAAAACAGTGATCCTGGTAGCTGGCGAGAGACCAGGAAATCCAGTTGGGAGACAAAAAAATCCATGAGAAGGACACATTCGCTGGTGGGAAATCGAACCCTGGTCCGCTCGACCGCCTCCAAGCGGACTCGAGAGCGATGTGCACCATGCACTACCAGTGCTTATTCCCTCCCTTCTGCAGCTCGCTGTGGGCTGTGTAATTTGATTGCAGCGCATAGCTAATATTATCGTACCAGAAGCTGAGGTACCCCTGCTTGTCCTTGATGGCACGGCACGCTGTCCGCTGAGGGTTGCGCTCTCCTGTGGGGGCAACAAAAGGTGGTGTGGATCGTAGGCGGCGCGCGTACCGTGGGCGAAGGCGATACCAACGATATTTCGGTGGGTTTGGTGGGCGATTTTGCAAAATCTTCGGTTGATTACCTCGAGTTCAGCATATTCTGTGTTTCCGTCAACTTTGTTCGATTTCTTTCATATGTTGAGATGTAAATTGGTACGACATGGTCAGCTGCTAGATAACTCAACATCCAATCTAGGCAAGGGGTATATAGTTTAACAAATAAAGCTCTAGAACCCAGAATTGAGCGACACAACAGCCGAACAAATTGATGAAATCTACTGGATGCGAGTTGAATATATGAACCTGCGTCGACGCCATCAAAAATGGTTCGGAAGAAGTAAACTCGTACATCTAGTCATCACAATTCAGCGATTTCGTCCATGTTCAATCCATGCCGGCAGTTGCCAGTAGTCAAATTATCAGTCGCATTGGCCGAGTGTCCGTAAACATCCCTAGAACCAATGCGCTGCCTCGTAGTCCGCGAATAGCTCGATCCTGGATCCATCGACGAGCTTCGTGCCGTAGTACCCAAGTTTGAACTCGGCTGTCCGGACCCCTGGCTGGACTCCGAGTCACTGACGGCTGTGTTGGAATCCGAATCCGGTTGCCCACGGTCGGGTAGCCGCTGTGGTGGAAGCGTCGCACCACGAAGCGCGTGCATCTCGACAGGTGAGGTGGAGCGGGGGAAGAGGATATCCATGTAGGACGAGGGATATTCGGAGACGGGTGTGATCCAGCCGAGACGCGATGGTAGACGGGTGGACTCGAAAGGATCGTGATCATCCGCAAGAGAATTCGCGTGTTCAACAGTAATGTCGAGAGAATCGGCCCGCTCGACCTCTAACCGGGATGTGGGCGAGACTGGATCAGCAGAGAGTGGGATTGAATCCACGTGCATGGAGCTGCGAGAACGGGCAAGGGGGTGAGAGGGGGCTCGACGGCATATTCTCTTCGTAACGAGCACTAAATGGGCTCCAAATTTTGTCCTCTTGATTCGTGCGGGGAGCTTCTCCGGGTCCCCGAAGAGAAAGAAGAGCAGGTCAAGTACCAAATAAGCGACACCTCGATCCACCCGTTTTAAGGGAGTGCTGAGCAGCATCCTGAGGGTGACAATCATGGTCGGTGTGGCTGCTACTACTGAAAGAGACTAAGACGCAAGAGTAAGGAACTTTTCGGAGACAATAACTTGGTGGAGCACCTGCCCATATGAAAAATCGTAACCTGCTTCAACTGTGTCTAACGCGAATGCGAGAAGCCAGTAAATATATGAGTAGAAGATGATGAAGTAAACCGGTAGACGATGTTGGAGAAGTACGGAACTGTCGAATCGTCTAGTATGTTTGCAATTAGAAGCCGACGATTTACCTTCCGATAGCCAAGCGACCTACTAACGACAAGCCTTTTCTCTTCGCCAACGCAAAACTTCCTCTTCTCGAGTGGTGGAAGGCGTAGATTGGATAGAAGACAAGCGGAAAGAGGAGAGCGGCGGTGCCAATTGGGGAGATGGACGATAGGATGCCTGAAAGTACGACAGAGCTAAAGTAGGTTTTTGCGCTCATACTTCCGCAGTTTTCTCCGGGGAATTTCCGGCCCTTGATCCACACCAGAGCGTGTAAGGATATCCAACCTGAAAAGAGGACAACGACCAAAGCTGAGTTCCAATTTTGCATTTTCTTGTCACCGCGGATCCAATAATACAGCTGCGGAAGATTGGTCCAGATGATGTACCCAGCAATGGGAGAGTTCACAATTGTGAGCGCAAAGAAGCCGTCAATGAAGGTGAGCTGGCCGCGAATGATACTGATGTGCGTGCATAAGACCACCGAGCCCATTTGTACCAATAGGGCTGTCAGGGCTGCGTCCGAATCTGCCTTGGTGCCCCACGCAATGAGGATACCTTTCAAGAGCTAGAGCAGCGATCTCGAATGCCGAAATATTTACTCACCGGAACATACATTCAGTACAACACCTGGATGTCGGGAGCTTTAATATTTGAATTAAATGCTCTCGAGCGGAAACTCACTGGAAAGGCGAACGACAAAGCCCATCATATCGGGATTGAACATCCCCATAAACACGGGATCGGAGATATAAGTCTCTAGGCGCAGGACGGTTCCAGCAGAAAGCTCCTCGCATAGGGACGCAGTCGTGTATGGGTCCGTTAACATGAGGGAAGCACAAGAGAGGATACGATGTCACTGCCTCATATCTTCGCGGTTAAGAATCGGATGACAGGCTGTGATGCACTGCTGTGCACGGGAGAACTAGGATTCCATGGCTTTCTGTGCTCACCACCTCCCAGACGCGTTGCGGACGCATCGGAAACGCACCGAGAAGGTTAATAACGATTCAGGATTTTTGCAGTATTCCAACACTTGTTTTGTTTGCTTTTCGACTGATACCAGTGGGACAGTACAGCTGATCCGTTAATAGATAAAAGAGGGAGATGCTAAAGAGAAGACTGATGAAGCTTCTATGACGGAACATCGCGATGAATTTATCATAACCGAGACGCCACCGCTGAGTTTTGACTCCAACGAACATGAACGCCGTTCACATATCTTAAACATGCACATACCCCAACCTAGCCCAGTGCAACCGACAGCAGCAATATTAATTGCGTACCGCCCAAGTACCGCCATCACTTGCACTCCGCCAACCCCATTGGGCAGAAATCAGAACTGTCACCGACGCTTTGGGAAGAAGAGCCACCCTGTGTACACGGGAAAGAACAAGACATTACTCATGCGCCGCGCCACACACAGCCCGCACGACAGATGTGCCACGCACCGGCACCTGTATCATCGGTGCCTAAGATCGGCACTGACCTGTACCTGCAGGTAACTACTACCGAGGGACACGGTGTCATCCAGGCGTGTCCAAGTAGAGCACGCGCACGAGTGCGCGACGCGTGCGGGCAGGGCAGCGTGCGGGTAGACGGCGCATCGACGCTCAAGGCACGTCACGCGGTAGTAGAACCTTGAGCATGGGCACGATCATGAGCGGGAACACGAGCACGTCCCGGACGGCATCCGCCTCAACCAAGCCCCGTGTCGCCGTACCCCTCCCGCTTGCCCCCTCCGCGTACAACTCTCTCAGGATACGAACTGATAGCTCAGCAAGGAACAGCCATGTCCACGCACGTCCTCGCAGGGGGGGGCAGGAGATAGGAGGTGCGCCTCCGGCCTCATCCCCAGATCATCCAGGCCTGCCCCTCGAAGCGGGCGAGCGGCGCGCGCCGGCCTCCCCGCACTGCCGACCTCCCGTGCTGCCAGCCGTGGGTGGGTACCGCAAGTCGCCCACCGCACGGCGCACGACCCCAGGTTGGGCGCCACCCATGCGGACGCCCGTCTCGCGTCCCGCGCGTAGACGAGAGTCTCGCTCGCGCCACCATTCAAGCGCGCCCACGCACCCTCCGCCTCACACGGGCACCCTCGCGCCACGGCTTCGTCCCGCGCCCTCCACTGCCCTCCACTGTGCACGACTCGCCGACGCTGGGGCCTTCCACGACGTGAGCTCCCCTTCCCCACTCGCCCCGACCATAACGAGCACGAGCAGCGGGATCAGAAGCAGCACTGCGAGCACGAGTATGGCTAGACGACGACGCAGGACGACAAAGGCCTCGAGAGATGAGGCAGGACCGTCTTCCACGCATGCGTATCCTTGCCCTCCGAGACTAAGCCGTTTTCCCCCGTGCGCGGCTGCGTGCATTGGCGCGGTGTGCACACGGAACGCGTGGTACAAGCAGCGGCCGCTCTTTGCGTCACCGAATCGCACATACGGACCCGGACGCGCGCCCCTCCGACACGGACGTTCCAGCAGGTGCACTCCGTACCTTGCATGGAGCGTCCAGGGCTCGCCCCGAGGCACCAGACAAGGCTTGAAAAAAGAAGAACCGAGAGAAAGCGGATCGGGATGAAGAAGGAGGAGCGGTGCAGCGTGGAGATGGGACGTGCGCGCAGAGTAGAGCACGTCCTGTTCCTAGGCCTATTTCAGGGGTGGATGTGGGGACGAACATAAAAAGAAAAACGTGAATGAAATAAAATAAAGATGCGAATTGGGAACGAGTCCCCGCGTGCGGTACGCCCCTCCACGAGCGCCGAGCGTGGTCGTGCGCTCATCGGCGAGGGCTCTATCGTCCGGGCAGCCGCATGTACGGGGCACGGAGCCGCGACATGGCGGGCATCAAGCATGATCGGATGAGCCCTGGGTCAGCGCTGATCATGAGCATGCGCACACGGTCTTCGGCATACAGCGCATGCCACCAGCCATGGACTTGGTAAGCACCCGAGGACGCGAACGCAGTTACAAAACTAGAATAACGCGCAATACACCGCCCCTGGCAGGGATATATCTACGGCGCCCCGGAGGCAAACGGACTGGGGAGGACAGGGTGTCGTCGTCGTCGTGTGCGGTGGTTGTCGGGCATTGGCGCGTCGGCGGGAGAGCCCGGAGGAGGCCATGGCGGAAAATGAGACAAGCAAAGCTGCTGCGTGTGGCGGTGCTCGGGTGGAGCCGGGGGCGGTGTGGTCAAAGCGAGGCATTGTAAATTACAAAGCGAGCGGTATAATTGAAGGGGCGTGGGCGGGATTAAATTTGCGTAATGGGCGAGACTCCGCAGCTTGTTCAAAATTTGTCAAAAAAAAAAAAAGAAGCGTGGACCGCATACTTGCACCGGCGGGGAATCGAACCCCAGTCTGCCTGGAATATAAACAGAACACTATTGAAGGGCAGCGTGCACCATGCACCACCGGTGCTTATATATCCATCCTTTGTGTGCTGATTCATGCAGCTCTAAATCACTCAATGGCCAACACCATTACAGTAAGTCCCTTTCCGTCTTGGCACTGCCGGACTCTTCAACCACATGAATCTGTCGATATATATAATCCGGGAGAAGCTAACAAATGTGCTGAGGACTGCGTTTGAACTCAGCTAGAAAAAAAAATGAGTTTAATACCCCGAATGCACCGGCGGGGGATCGAACCCCATACCACCTCAATCATAGCTCACATGAAATCATCAAAATTGAATGAGGAATGCACCATGCACCACTGGCGCTGATTCTCTCTATTCTCACCCATACTATACACCGCCCTGAACTGCACAGGCAAATAATCAATATCATCGGATTTTTTTCAACATCGAGGATAATTATTTTCTGGCACCATTTGGGTATCCCATCCACAAGCGAATTTGCTCCTCATAGAAGCATGCAACGGACTTGCGAGATATGAATCAAGTCAAGAAGAAAATTTCTGTGAGGCACACTATGCACCGGTTGGGAATCGAACCCCGGTCTGCCTGAACAACAGAGCTGGAACTTTTATTGAAAGGCAGCATATACCACGCACCACCGGGGCTCATTCCTTTTCTTGTCGACCGTCTTTCATGGTGCTCTAAATGACAGTGTAGCCCATTGTACTGGGGCAATATGTGATTCATACAATGGCCAATACCGTTTTACGGTCAGTTAATTTCTTCTAGTTGAATTCCTCCCGCCACGTTCCCAATAAATTTGTCGATATAATAACTAAACCTCTGTAGTAAACGAAAATGTGCCGAGGAAGCGCGAAAAAAGATAGAAGAAAAAAAACGAGCTCCAAATTGTGCATGCACCGGTGGGGAGTCGAACCCTGATCTGCCTGACATCCTTTGCGCGTTTCAAATTTTGGGGCAGCGTGCACCATGCACCACCGGTGCTTATATCCATCCTTCTTCACTCTCTTTTATACAGCTCTAAATAACAAAATGGCCAACAGTACCATAATCACAGTACGAGTGATCTCGGGCCTGCGTGGCAGGACCCGATCTTTCAACATCAAGGCTTTCGCCAGGACTGGTGAAAACGGTTAGAGGGGGGGGAAAAGACTCCGACTCCGAATTGAGCATGCACCAGCGGGGATTCGAACGCTGCTCTTCCTTGATTTAGACTGTAACCATCTACACAGCTGGTAGTCTATCAAGGCCACTGGGCATTGAACATTGCGGAGGCCATATACGAGAGTATGTAACGACCAATTGTATCGAGAATTGGAAACCCTGATGTCCTTGTGCCGTCGATGCATGCGGTTTTATTTTTTATTTCTGCGGCAGTGCAACACAATTGCCGCAGAGTGCCGCAGAGTGCCGCAGCGTGCCGCAGCGGCAAATGCAGCGGCACTTTATCTTTGCCCATACTGGAGTGGGAGAAGACAGAGAAGTAGTGTTCATAAAATGGGCGATCGCAACAAGAAGAGGAAGATAAACGACCACAAAGGAAATGCTGAAGAAGAATTATCATAATCAGAAAAGGGTGAGGAGAGGCACGGTACGTAAGGGTGTAGAAGATGGCAGGGAAAGATGGCAGAAAGAGGGGGGTGAAATGTCCAAGCATGAATATTCGGAAGGTGCTGCAAGGAAAAATAGATGCCCAGGAATTACAAGCGCAGAACACAGTCAAGGAATGGTGAATGAGGCGACAAAGAATTTGAGTAGGTGGTAGGAAAAAGGTCTAGAAGAATTTTATTGTTTCAATACAAGACAAGATATGCCTTCGCTTCCCTCCGGCGGGGAGAAACAATAAAATAAAAGTTGCATTATTCATACTAAAATCTCAGCATTCGTTACATTAGTCGTTGTTCATCGCTGTCGTTCTCCTTACTTAGCTTGAGGGGCAGCACCTGTTGAGACTGACAGTGTATGTAAGATTATGCGACGCGGTAGTCGGCAAATCTTCGCTCCTCGTACGCCATACGGGCCGTACACTTTGCGGTCTGTGTGTCGTACGTGTTCCTCCGTCTGCGCTACATCTACCTACTTTAGCTATAGGTATTCCATTGAAATCGATCCAATCGGACTCACTGCATACCACGAGAAAGCGAAAGGCACGGTCCCTGTGACTGAGACCCGAATCGAACGGGCGAGCTCCATCGAATACACGACACCGGAGTCCTCCTGTCGCAAAAGGGCCTGGTCACCTATAAGGGGTTAGGAAGGGTTACAGGCTTATAAGCGAGTTACAGCGACTTATACTAGGCTTACAACTAGGGTATAAGTAGTTATAATTCAATATATCCATCCCCTCATCCCTCGTCATCCAAACCTGGAAGGATACACTCCTGAATGAGGGAAACCTGCAAACGGACTGGACCAAAGGACCCAGGGTTTTAGTGGGTATCGAACCCAAATCATTGCATCCCCCCTCCTAGCCCTCGGGCCGGCGGGGACGGAATCGATAGCTCGGAATCCCACACTGTTGCACCCCACTTCGTGCCAAATGCATTTCCCTGGGTGGTGACCTAAATCTTTTTCCTCGGGGGGTTTCACCCCCCCTGTTCCTTACGATATAGTCTGGAAGCTAGCCAGTTGCTAATTGTCCATTTCTATCTGTCTACTGACAACGTACCACCAAAAAAAAAAAAAAAAAAAAAAAAAAACCTTGAGGGGCATTGAGGGCTGAGAGGTATCTATATATTGTCCCAATATCCTAATTTGCCGAGTCGGCCTCAGTCACCAAAAAAAACGCCGTTTTGGGGTGAATTTACAGGCACTTCGGTCAGTTGTGGAGCGGGTGGAGCTGGGTGGAGTGGGGCTCCAACCCGAGCGCTGAGCACGGTGCAAAACTGTGTTGGTGACATCTGAGCTTTTCCCTGCACTAGACCTTATTAGTTGACTTTGTGCGAGTCGCTGTAAATTATCTGATTGGCTACTCCACACTTTTTAGCCAATGGGAGAATTTACAGCGACTTGGTAAAAACCAGCTAATAAGGTCTACTGATAACAGATACTGAATTTAATTTGAGTCCTCAACACTTTATAATATAATTACTGAAGACTGACCCTGACCTACCTTGTTAACTGATACTTAATAACAATGATTCTAACTAGTAAAGTAACTACTCTTCCCGCTGGTACTACAAAGTACCAGCGGAGGGAAGCCTCTCGAAATTTTACCTCGACCAGTTATAAGCCGCTATAACCTCCTATAACCTTGTATAACCCTATAACCTCCGTAAGTCCTTATAACCCAGGATAGTGCAATTTTGAAGGCTATAGACCCCCCAATGATCTTACAGACTTATACCGCCTTATATTAACCTATTCTTGGTTCCGGCTTTAGGTACCAGGTCTCACATGTCCAAATGTCTGTCCGTCCGAGATACACTGCTTATTAATGATGCCGTCACTCTTTGTTGCATCATACTTGCATTTTGCTTGCATTACATGTCCAGCAAATCTAAGTCTGAAGTTGCTCGTGTCTGTCCTATGCCAGGGTCCATTCTTGAATCTTTGCATAAATTACGTCGAAGCCTTTAAAATAGCTTTAAACTCCGTTCGGCCATCACCGAGATCTTGACTCTCTTGCTTTACTTCTGATTTGTGACTCGCGGAGCCCAATGTAGGTGGCCAGCATGGTAAGAGCTTTAATGACCAGCCTGCGCATCGCGTTGTCGCCCTCCTTTGCCCAGCTTGAGCTTGAGGTCCAAGAGTTGCAAGAGTGCCAGTCAAGTATTTTGGACTTATACGACAGAGAGAGACCTCAAGCTGTGATTTCCAGCTGCTATCGGCTTTCCTTCAAGCCACGGCGGCATTTTTCCAGTTGCCCGCCATCCAAACGAGCTATGCAGAAGCCCTCGGGTATCAAGTTCAAATGCAACATATGATGTCGAGAGCACTTGATTCATTTTTTGGTCAACTCAAGATTCAACCATACATGCTGTGGAGAAAGGCCTTAGACTCAAGCTGGGGTCGCCAACTGCTATCCGCTTTCCAAGTTCACTGAGCCGCGCCGATATTTTTCAAGTTGCTGCGGCCGTCAACTGCTATTCGCTTTCCTTCAAGCCCCGGCATGTCACCCGCCTCTTCAAATCCACCTGTCATCTAAACTCGAGCTATGTCCAACCGCCTTCCCTGCCTCTCATATTCGACGAAGTTATCATGTTTGAACCAGAAAAGGTTCTGGACTTACTTACATAGTGGTATCGCGACAGTAGTTTCCCAATCATTTCCCATTTTGCAATTGTATCAAAAGATCATGAATAACGCAGACTTCAAATCACTGCACCTGAGGGTGCTGAAGGCACTGATCATCAGTGTTGTCAAGAAGGAGGCGCCGCAGCATCATTGTACCATGCATTGTCCGAAATTACAGTCAATTGATCATTGCCCCAAAAGAAAAAAAAGTGAAATATGTGTTGCTGTGACAGAATCAGGAACCGAGGTGGTAGCCAGTAGAGGAACCAAGGCTGCCCGGAGGGCTTCTGTATATTGGCTTATCTCCGACGAAGGCTTTTTGCGACACCGGACCCTTGGTGTTCTCGTAATCGAGGTCATAGTCGGCGAAAACCTCTTCAAGGTTGACCGTCGAAGACCGAGAGAGCCAAAATTAAATAGCTTCATGGCTCGTGCATGCCGCGAGAAAGCGAAAGGCGTAGTCCCTATGACCGAAACCCGAATCAAACGGGCGAGCTCCATCGAATATACCATATCGGAGTCTTCCTCCGGACCCTCAGTGCTCTCGTAATCGAGGTCGTAATCGGCGAAGACCTCTTCAAGGTTGACCGTCGAAGTCCGAGAGCCAAAATTAAATGGCTCCATGGCTACTTATTGGTGTTCTCCGGTTGTGGAACATGTATATCCCATGGAAAGTGCAACCAAGGAGCATCAGCTCCGTCGTTTTCGGCACTGTTCACGATATTACAAATGACGTCTAGAATTAAGAAAACGGTATAAAAGCCTGAGAGTGTCTGCAGACAACCCAGTGCGATCCACTGTC